GGGGGGTGTGGGAGAGGGGCCACAGTGGTGGCTGGGAGTCCCTGAAAGGGGGAGAGGGTAGGGCCTGGGGGATGGAGTAAGCCTCACGTCAGACCCTCCAGTCATAGCGCACTCCCTCCGCTCTGAGGGCTCTGTGCCCCGCTGAATAGAACCCAAAGCATTTCTGTTTGCCTGCCAGGCTCTGGGGACTGGCTGAACAGGCTGGGCCTGTCTCGGGCTGGGGTGGGACAGGAACAGCTCTTAGCAGGGAAAGCTGTGAGAGGACCATGCCGCCAGCCAGGCGGAGTGCAGGGAATGGCAGCCACGTCTCCGCCCAAAGGGCCCTGCACCTCCTCCACAGCAAAGCCGGTGCATGGACAGAGTGCCAGGGGTTTCCAAAGTACAGGAGGGATCACTGCCCACACGCAGCAGACATAAGGAAACCGAGGCAAGGCTGTGCTGCAGGCCAGAGGCACATGCAGCAACGGACTCTGCTCTCCCTGCTCCCGTGGCAGTGCACTGCCCACTGTACCTCCCTGCCCCTCCGTGCAAACTGCTTCAGTCAGTCACTGAAATGCTGCCACAACTGGCTGCTGCAGCCAGAGCCGACAGGAGAGGAAATGAAGAAACCTCCTTGCCGTGTCTGGAAGCGCAGCGCTAGCAAGGCAGACTGTAACCCCAGCTGCAATCTGACCCAGTTTAGGAGCAGCGGAGACACACTGCACTGAGGCGCTGAAGCCACTTCGCAGCCTGTGGCTGCAAAGTTTGCAGAGTTTGGTGGGAAAGTCCTTAGACGGTAACCAGTGCACCTGTGAGGAGTCCCCGCACCCAGCACTCAAACCAGCCCACGCCACGCAACACACTGCCCACGAGGCTGGCTTCTAAGTGGCAGTGCAAAGGCGGGACCATGCTAGCTGTGCTTGGGGGCTGGGAGTTTGCTTATCAGGGCCGGGAGGCTCAGCAGGGGATTGCCTATCAAGGCCTTGTCAAACCTACGCCAAGTCTGCAAAGCACTTTTCTGTCTGAGCCTGATTCCCTGGCCCCTGCACACTGTGGGGTGGGAGGGGACAGGCCGATCTGGGAACGTTTTACACTCTGCACCACAAGGTGCAGCCTGCGATGTTTCGTGGTGTATAGTCCATGGTGAGGTTCTTCCAAAAGCAGAGCCAGTCCCCCATTCCATTGGCTTGGAGCGGGGAGGGTGCCCAGCTGCAGTTCTTGCTGCAATGTTGATATTTTATGGAGCTGCAGTTGCAGAAAAAGAATCTGAACATGATGCTTTAATGAAAAAGGCCACACAAATAATCCTGCCTTCGGAGCGCCTCCCGCCACTCTTGGCATGCTATCCAGCAGCGGGAATCGCCGGGGTCCGGAGACGGCCGAGGAATCGCAACTTCCCCTACTGCACCTCTGCACCGCAGCATCCGTGCCACTGCTGGTGCAGGAGTCTAAATCCTTGCAACTTGTCTCAGCGCTGCAGTCAAATGGCCAACAACTCGCGCATGCAAAGCTGCTATGAAATGTCAGCATTAAACACAACTCTCCTCCCTCGGTCATCAGGGCTGGGTTCTCAGCTGGTGTGGACTGATATCAGAGCCAGCGGCTGATGGAGCTACAGTGCTTTAACCACCCAGGGCCCTGGCCTGCAGCACCTCAGGATGCCAAGATGTTACAAATTAGGGCTCGGTCCCTGGGCAGCCCCTGCAAACCCTGGGCTGGGTGGTATAACTGGTTAGGTGCTCGCTTTGTTACCTGCAGCATCTTCGTCTGTTAAGAGCCCTCCGCGCTGCATCAGCCGCCTCATTTGCTCTTTGGAGATCTTCAGGTACTTGTCGCAATTACACAGCTGGCAAAGGGAGAGAGGGAGATTAGACATAGCATCTTCTGTCCAGCCATCTCACGGCACATTGCAAACCAGTGAGCTCAGCTTCACAACGGCCCTCCGAGGCCTGTCAGCATCACCAGCATTTACAGCCAGAGAAACAGAGGCAAGCACACACGAGTGAGGCTGTGACAGCACGAGGGTAGCACACATTCCCTGGCCCATCTCGCCTGTAACAGAGGGCAATAGGGAAACCTCAAGAGAGTTACAAGATCCTGGGTAAAAGCAGTGCCCCGCCCCAGCTCCTCCTGCTCACGCTGGTTACGTGGCTGGGTGGACGCCCCCCCATTGAAACTGCGTCCCCAGTCCAGTATCAGTGACAGCGATCAGCCAGGCCTGCAGTAACATGCTGCCTGTGCCTCCTGAGCCAGCTGGCCAGATGCTTGGCCACTGGTCCCTCTAATCCAGCGATCTCCAACCTTTTTAAGCACAAGATCACTTTTTGAATTTAAGTGCAATCTAGGATCTACCTCGACCCAAATCCCCTGCCCCGCCTTCTTTATGCCCCTTCTCTGAGGCCCCGCCCCTGCTCACTCCATCTTCCCTCCCTGCCTTCCCCGCATCCTCTCTCCCTTACACCAGGCAGGGGCAGAGGGTTGGGGTGCAGGCTCTTGTCTTGGGCCAGCGGATTTAGAGTGTGAGAGAAGCTCTGAGCTGAGCCTGGGGCAGAGGGTTGGCGTGCAGGAAGGGGTTTAGGGTACAGGCTCTGTAAGGGAGGGCTCAGGGCTAAGGCAGGGGTTTGGGATGCAGGAGGGGTTTATGACGGGCTGGGGTTCAGAGCTGGCTCTAGCTGGGCACCGCTTACCCCACGTGGCTCCTGGGTGGTGGTGCCGGGGGCTAAGACAGGCTGGCCCTGCAACATTCTCCAGAGCAGCCAGCAAACTCCCTCTATCTCAAGCCCTGCTGTGCCCCACCTGTCTGGTCTCTGGAGACAGAATACAGGGTGGAAGGGGGGGCCTCCTTTCCCTTCCCTGCTCTGCACAGCAAGAAGGAGGCTCCTCGGGAGAGGGAAGGCAGCTACAAGGCAAAGGGCAGCAGTGGGAGAGAGGAAGTTTAAGTGCTGCGCTTGGTAGCCTCTTGGCCAAAGCAGTCAAGATCAACTGTCAGAGGCTCCAAGATTTACCAGTAGATCCTGATCTACAGGTTGGTGACCACTGGTCTAGACTGCACTCTAAAATTGAAATAAGATACGCAATTTGCGCTACACAAATTCCATATCTTATTTTGATTTTATTTTGAAATAGGCTATTTTGAAATTTGGCGCATCTACAGCAGTACAAACAAACAAGCCCTAGCTGTGGGTGTTCTGCTAATCAGCTGGGCTGCACTGGAATCTCTCAAGCGCCCAGCTACCAGGGACCATTGCTCTTGGCGGAGGTGAAAGGAAGCGGGTGCGCCTGCTGCACAGCTCCAGCAAGAGCTGGCTGAGCTGCGGTAAAAGTCAGCAGGAGCTATTGAAGAGCTGGCAGGGCCCCGGGTTGCGACAGGACAGTGCCTGGAAGAATTTCAGATGCTTTCACCCCGGCTCTTGGCCTATCTCACAGTGCAACTCAAGGGACCTGTCTGGGCTTCCCCAGAGACCGGCCAGTCCAAAGAGAAGGGGTCTGTGTGTAGGTCTGTGGGGGGGGGGGTCTCCGCCCCAGCAAGTCACTTCCAGCTTCTGACGTGCTCTCGGCACAGCCACTTTATAGCTTGAGCTCTGGGGCCAGGTCTCCAGCTTTCCTGTGCACCGCTCCCCTAAAGAACAGCGCTTGTTGAGACGCCCAGGACAGGCCCCCGATAAGGCCCATTCATTAAGAGCCCGTATGTTCACATGGCAAATCCAGCAGCACTCTCGAAGAACCCCACCGAGAAATGAGCCCTGGTTAGGCAGCTCCAGCGCAGCTCAGTACCGGAGAACAGCCACCTGCTCTGCACCCGGGGTGGCTGCTCCCCTCGGCCCCTGGTGCTGCCACAGAGCCCCAGAGGCTGAGCCTGCCTGTGAATGTCAGCAGGCCCCCAGGGCCTGAGATAGAGCTCGGAAGCTCTTTCACTGGCTTGCCCTGTTTGCATGAATAGGCACAGACCTGAAAAGCTCGCTGAGGTAACGAGCGTTCGGAATGGGCCCTGCTGCTGTGCAAATCTCTGCTCTGGTCAGACACAAGGGCCTATGCTCCTCCAGTGACAAACCATCGGACAAGGGCCTGCTTTCCACAAAGCACCGAGCACCCCTACCCCTCGTGCTGGGCAGGGCCTCCAGCCCTGGCCCCGTCCCAGTCACTCAGCTTTGTGTGGAGCACGAGCCGGGGGTGGTAGAGAGGTGACTGCTGGGGGGGAGGGTTGGTGGCTTCCCTTCCCCCCAATGGAAAAATCAGAGAGGAAAGTGGGACAATTATACGGTCACAGCTTAGGCATCTGCCCCCAATTCACAGCCAGGCCGGGGCAGAGCGACCCCCGGCCGGGCCAGGGCAGAGCGACCCCCGGCCGGGCCAGGGCAGAGCGACCCCTGGCCGGGCCGCTGCAAAGCTATCCCCAGGTGGGACAGCCAGGCCCTCCTAGAAAGGAGGCCCTACATCCGAGCCCGCCAATGACTCAGACCGTGAAAGGCTTCTGCCTTCCGCTCTCTGAAGCTGCACCTCAAGCAAAGCCTGCTACAGCGGGCAAAGCAGAAAGCCTCAGAAACGGCCATGCAATCGGGGACGAGAACTCTTCAGAGAACTCACTTCCCATACATTGTGGCAGACGCTTTGCGTTCTCTGATGAGCCACTTCCTTCCAGCACCACATGGCTGTTTGCCCTGAACGCAGACACGTCAATTCTCCTGCCTGCCTCCGTGCAAAGTCCTGCCACATGGCTGGAGCAGCTCAGACTGGCTGGGATCCGGCAGTGGCCAAACCCTTTGCCAAGGAAGGAGAGTGCCTGCAGGTTTGCTGGCCAGTGAGCCCTGCACACCCTCCCCTAGGATCCTGCTTATGCCCTGCAGTAGCAAAGCGATTATTGCGATTATTGTTTTAGAGCCAGAATCTGGGAATCTCCCGGGGTGGAGAGAGAGGAAGAAGGGAGCTCTCAATAGGTCCACCCCAAGTGCACTGGGGAGCCAGAGGCCCCAAGGGAGTGTGGCTGAGGAAGGGTGGCCCCATGATCACGCCCCTTTCTGCACCAGCTGGAGGCTCAAAAAGGCCCGTGAGGAGGGAAGCACACCTCTGTGGCCAGGTGGCCTGCTGCAGGAAGACTCCAACTATTGACCAAGTGGGGCTCCCCAAACCTCCCCCTTCCGTGGCAGTGCCTCTAGAGCCTGCTGCTGGCCTGGGTTTGCAAAGCTCCCCCGGGTGTTATCCACTGACCCAGCGCAGCTGCAGGCTGGCTCCTTGCTGACAGGCTGCAGAGAAGGGGTGTAATGGTGGAGTCCATTAACCGAGGTTGGGTCCATCAGTGGCTATTGGTCAGGATGGGCAGGAATGGCGCCCCCAGCCTCTGTTTCTCTGGAGGTGGGTGACGGGAGGCATCGCGGGAGGATTGCCTGTTGTGATCCCTCCCTCTAGGGCACCTGGTCTTGGCCACTGTCAGCAGACAGGACCCTGGGCTGGAGGCACCTTTGGTCTGACCCAGTGTGGCCGTTCTTATGATAAGCAAAAGCTTATAGGTTAATGCTATAGAACGAACACACACACACACACACACACACACACACACACACACACACACACACACACACACACACACACACACACACACACTTAAAATGTATTAGGAGGTAGGAGAGCAGGCAGCCCGGCTCAGTTCCAGCTCCCACTGGGACTAGGAGCTCAGGACCCGTCCCCCTACCCACCTCCAGACAGGGGCTGCTGCTACCCTTGTATCAGAGGCAGCAGCGAGGGGTGACAGGCAGCCAGTCTGCAAGGGGAACTTTTTTAAACTGGCTCCCCTTGAGGACCAGCTCCACTTGGCAACCTGTGCTGCTGCCGCTGTATCAGAGGCAGCAGGGCGGAGTGGCAGGGGGGTCCCTCGGGGGGGCCCTGCCCCCGGGGACTGTAGAATAGCCGAGTAACCGATGGGAATTCATGAGGTTACTCGACTATTCAATTAACCGATATTTAACACCTCTATTATGGAGCAGCCTGACAGCAAGAGCTCTGCCTGGCCTGAGGGCGAGGGCCGTGTGGAGAGCCCAGAGATGCCTGTCTCCTACACAAGGGCAGAGGTGGGCACATCACTACTCCTCATTCCACACTTGGCCCCAAGCTAGGACCAGGTCTTGATCTTTAAGGCCTTCAGTCCTAGCTACTGCCAGAGATGGGGGAACCGGGGTGTTCTCTGTTTTTTTCTGAGGCCTGGTAAGGAAGAACTGGAATTCTGGGGACAAATGTGAAAGGCGGGGTTATATAAAATACTTTGAGACTGAACAGTGAAAGAATTTTAGAGTAATATTTAAAACCATGTTGTGACTGTTGCCCTTCTAATGCTTTCTAATAGCAGTAAGGACTGAAAATAAAGGGACTCTAGCAATGGACAGTATTAGAAGTAAAGAAAATTTAGTTGTGATAAACAGCTAATTATTGCAGAGATTTCCATTTTTCCTAATATTTTTTGGGGGGCAAGGTCAAACACCCGCAGAAACACAAGTTTTCCCCCCCACCTTCAAAATATTCTGCAACGTTACATTCGTAGTGACCGCGCCTCAGAGACATCCCTCCGCAGCCCTGCTGCTTTTGGGGGGCGGGAGGGAGAGGTCTGTGGCTGATGGGTTTTGTGAGGAAGGACATTCTCAGCTGTGGAATTTCACTCCAGTGGAAATCAGTAGAGTCCCGCAAATCAGCTTTCTATCCGCAGATCTCTGCATCCACAGATGTGGCTGTGCGTCTCCGCGGCTCATTTCTGTGGATACGGATGTGGATACAAATTTAGTATCCATGCAAGGCTCTAGAAATCAGATTAGAATCAGAGCAGACTCCACTTGCACTCAGTGCAAGACCTCTCATTTCACA